GAAAGAGTTTTTCCATAAAGGCAGCATCAACAGACAGCATCAGTTGCACTGCTGCCTTAAAAACACTTTTGCCTCGTCTCTGAAGACGAGTCACCTTCCTCCTGAGGCAGCAGCGGTTCCAGGGTTCGGGCAGCTGATTACAGCCCTACAAACAAAAGCTGAGTAAGAAGCTAGAAAATCCATTTTCTTCCAAATGTTCCATCCTCACAGAACTCTTACACTGATCCAAAGGCACTACGCAAACATGGATTACTGTGAAAGCACAGGTAAGAGCCTCACTTTACAGAGAAATAAAGGCACAAAAGGGGGAAATGAGACACAATTTTGGCTATCATGGAAAGCATGACACCTTGTCATAAGCCAAAGCTTGGAAGGCAATGTCTACTAGTAAGAACACAGAAAGAGGAAGGACAGAGTCTCCCATTACCTCTGCTAATAAGGAGCTGTGCCTCCCTCTCCCCATCTGCTTATAGGTGACCAAGTTGCCTAGTTGACTTTGTTTTCTAATCTCTGTTGGGTGTTTAAAAAAAAAAAAAAAACAGGATGAGGTGAGAGAAAGCAAGGCACTGATGTGATCACATTTTACAATCCAGCCTTTGTTTCAGCTATGATTTTCTTCCAGAACTTGACTGGGGGAAGTAAAAGCAACAGGTACACTTCATGCCTTATTTGTTGTTACTACAGCTTCAGATCCAGAGTAACATGGAATTAGATGATGTCCTATTTTAATGATTAGAGGAACTAGGGCAAGGCCAGATAACATCAAAGCCATCATCAGCAACATTCAACTCTCCTACCGCTCGCTTGTGTTCTCCAGCTGCCAGCAGTACCACATCGTCCCCCTGCATGTTCAGCACCTGGATGAGCTGTGACTGCTGCTCCTGGCCAAGAAACTTGGTAAGCAGAGACTTCAAGCTTCCATCAGGCCTGCAGATAACGTCCACAATTTCCTAGTGCAGGAAACCAGTAAAGACAGGGAACATGTTCAGTTCAGTGCTGCCCTCTTTCGTCTTGAAGCATATGTTCAGGCGCTGGCTCTCAGCAGAAGAGCCTTATTAAAAACTGCTCTTCTACCTTCCTCTGCCTGTAGTTTCATAACCCTTTATACAGCTTGTCCTTCACCCTTTGCAATGCTTCAGCAGTGTTTGTCTCACCTGGTTAAATTGGGATTTGGCAGCCTCCTTTAATGACTCGATATCTTTATTTTTAAGATATCTCTGGAGAAAGAGCAAGAGAAGAGACATTAAACATCAGTAAAATCTGTGGAAAGCCAGGCCACGATTCAGATCTACTGACTCAGCTGCTTCCAAACCTCTCAAGCTTTTTTGGTTTCTAACACAAGATCTAACACAAGGGCTGCGGAACAGAAAAGGGCCTGCAGCGCTAGGCTGCAGCTGAGTGTCTTCTCCAAAGGCTCCTTTCAGCAAGAGGACCCTCTAGGTGGTACAGCCGGATACAGTTTTTCTCCCTGCTCACAGATCAGACATAGCTGGTCAGCAGAGTCAGATCATGCCAATTAACTGCTTCCAGCATGCAGGCTACAGAGCAGAACCAACGGTGTTACCACATTGTTGATGTGCAGGGCATAGCTCAAAAGGGAAGAACAAGAGAGGGAAACTGAGCTGACCCTCAGATGCAAAGAAATGCAGTAGGTTTGAGGTCTTGCATCAAGATTTTGATTATATGGCTAATATTGAGAGCTCAAGATCCCACTTTTGTTTTGATCAAGTGCGCAGCTTAGTGCCCTCTGGCGGGAAACCACTAACTTGCACTTTCTGCCAAAATTACAGGAATCTGAGAGACGTCATGGCCAGAAAGTCCTACTCCCCAAATAAAAGTGCTCAACGGAATCTTTGTTCTATATTGCATACGCTGCAAAGATGCCCAGAGTCAGAATTAAATCTGTTTACCTGCCAAAATACATGGCTGCTGTCAAATAAGCATCTAGAGCTATCAAGGCTGTCAGCCTTGGATTTGGTCTTGGATATTCTCATTACAAGACACGAGTAGCGTCCACGAACGTGACAAAAGTAAACGTGAGAACGGCATGTAACCAGCTGATCTTTCTCTCACTAGCCCAGAAAAGAGCTGTGCCATACTTGGTGCTTTTTCAATCTCTTGCCACAGGGCACAATTTATTATTCAGATGCAAAACAGAAGCCAACCTTGACGAAAGCAAACTGAAGCTCGAGAGGCCTCCTTATGCTCCAGAGACCTTGCAGCTCTTTTCTCCTGCTGGCCTTCCAGAAGACAACATATTCTTTCCATCACCTGATCTTCCCCATTCCCCTCTTCTAACATCCCTCAGCTAAACCTGAAGTCAATCACAAGTGACAGCAAAGGACATTTCCATACCAAGAAAGAGGAACTCAAATTGCTATTTTATTCTTTTTAAATAAACCATAAGCCGTAAGTAAAAATATCACTTACCATCCCCTGAGGGATGCAAACGGCTTTGACAGTGCCGTGTGGGTAACTGAGCACATTCTGCACAAAGCGAACATCCAAGCTTCGTGAAAAATCACTGATATCCACTATCTGAGTGGGGAAAAAGGGGGGAAAAAAAAAGGCAGTAGTGGTAGGAACATAAAGCAAAATCCTGCACCTGTGTCTTTTAACATCTTCAGCACCACTGCTTGGGACAACATTTCCTTGCTCAAAGAAATCAAAGGATTCATAGAAAGAAATGAATGGGGCCAAGCTGGAATAACCATTAGCAGCCTGAGCGCTAGAGACAGAAATGCAAGAGAGGTAGGAAGAAACAAGAGAAAGGTAGAGATAGTGACATCCTGCCACAATGTAGGGAGCCCACATACTTAAAAAGAAATCCCCCAAATTAATTCCTGGGGAGATATAAGATGCTTTCTTGCTTTTCAGCACTGTTCCTCTTAATACTTGTATCGGTATTTCTATTTCACACTTACTTATGTCTGTGCACACTAACACAGCTAGTCTTCTCAACAAGATCTTCAGAGCGCTGACAGGCTGGTAGGCCCAGACAGATCAGAGAAGCCTGTCTCACGAAGTAAGGTCCCAAGGAGCAGCACGCTTTGGGACAAAAATATATAAAGACGCCTAAGGTATCTGTGGATGCCTTACGGACTTCTGGTCCTAATGCTGTCCAAATTATTTGCTTCCTAACACTACATGATCTTAAAAAGTTCTAAGATGATCCATTTTTCCACAACCATATAGCAAACCTTTTTGTTTTCTAACATATGAATACCTGTACAGAGCAGCAATGAGGGAAAAAAGTTGTTTATGTTACAGCATTAAGAACCCCAGCTGACCACAGCACGTAGATATGATGTAAACATAGACTCTTCAGAAACACTAACAGAAAGAAGGAGGAAAGCTGCAAGTTTCCAATGGGCAACCCCTCACCTTCATGCCAAAGCGAGTGTCTGGTTTATCAGTCCCATAGTCAGCCAGTGCCTCCTCATATGTCATGGAAGGGAAAGGAGTGGTAATGGGGCCTCTCTCCTCAGGCCAGGAATATTGCAGGAGGCCCTCTATTAGCCTCTGGATCCCACCTTGATCTACAAATGACATCTCTATATCGATCTTAAAATACAAAACAAGAGGGGCATTCCATGTTAGCTACAGTTTTTGCCTCTGCACAGCTACTTGCAGAAACTCAACTAAAAAACAAGCATAAAAGGAAGTAACACGTTACATTGAATCAGAACATGACTGCATTACACTGAGGCTGTGCTTGTGATCTCCCTTCAGCCTTACGACTCAGGTAACAATATCCTCAGAATCCTCAAATGAGGTAAAGATGACAAAGACCAGAGGGGAAAGCCTTGAATAGGACAGGCTGACTCCGTCTGGGATCTGAGGACTGAGGATGGGATGCCCAGCTCAGCAGGACAGGCACAGATGTGCATCATCAAGCACAGCCACAGCTACAACACAATCCCCACAGCTGCTGATGGGTATCTGGGACTGTACAGTCAGCCAAGGACAGAAACCACTCTGTGCATGCCCCATACCACCTGCAAAGGGCTGGGCCTGTGAAACACGCAGCAAACAAAATTCTCTCCCCAAAGCATTACCAGAGCTAACCAAAACTAGTCCTTCAGTACGGAAAACAACTACAGGTTGTCTGGGGTGAGGAGGAAAGTGAGAGGAGGTGTAAGCTGGTTACCTGAGTGAATTCAGGCTGTCTGTCAGGCCTTGAACCTTCATCTCGATAGCAGCGAGCAACCTGAAAGTACCTGCAACAGTACTTTTTTCCTCAGACAGGAGTTTAAAGTACCCTACATTAAATTGTGGCTACAGAACTGATTATTGCAGGGGCGGGGGAGAGAGAAGCCAAGAGCATGCTCTGTTCCCTTTGTAGCGGGCTGTCACAGCCCTGGTTGCCTCCATCCCCCCAAAAGCATGAAAACTAGAGCGGAAGCAACTGCACCAGCAGCTGTATCCACGTCCAGCCATACCCTCCAGAGGCCTGTGACAAGCTATTCAGTGAGCTGTGCCATGACAGGGCGTAAGCAGTCCCTTTTCCCACCTTCCACTCCAGACGTGGACCTTACTAAGGGCCGAAAAAACCCGTTCACTGTATGAACGGCTCTACTCTATCTCTATGGCCAGCTTCGATTTTATTTGGGGAAACGAGCCCAATTCAAAGCTTTGTACCCTGCATCCTGAGTACAGGCTTTCCCTGTCCTAATCACGCTCAACTGCACATTCTGCCCTTCGGGCAGTCTGCCCCTGCAAAGCTTCTTCCTACATCTGTGCTAATCAGGTTTTTATTTAAAACAATAGTGAGGATTTCAACCATTAAAAAGGGATAAAATTCCATTCATTGGGAGGCATTACTGCTAAAAGGCCTGACCTAGCTGAAAAGTTGCAAGTATTTAAGGATCCCTCTTTAAATCACAAAACGCTTGGCAAGTTCTTGGGGGAAGTCTCCAAAACCTCACAGATCAAAGCAAATAAATCCTGGATGAGACATGCCGAGAACAGAGGCCCAAGAAACCCTTACCTGTCCAGGCCGCCAACCATGAGGAGCTGCTTGAACTGCTGAGGACTCTGCGGCAGACAGTAGAACTTCCCCGCTTCCCTCGAGGGCACAAGGAATTCTTTTGCCCCCTGGCATCAGAAAGGAGAGAAAAAGCTTACAAAATTCAGCAAGTAATCAGTATAAACTCCCAACAGAGCAACAAGCCATGGGCTTATACTGCAGCATGGGAGACTGAGGTTAGACATTTGGGAGCAGTCCCCAGGCACAATGGTAGTGAGGCACTGGAATAGATTGCTTAGGGTAGACACGAAGCACTGGAATAGATTGCTTAGGGCAGACATGAGGAATCCTGTCCCAGAGGACAAGGACACGTCAATATCTGGTTTCAGTAATTTAGGAAGCAAGATCTTGTGTTGGGGAGGGTCAAGACTACTTCTCGAGATCATCTCCGGTCCTATTTCTTAGGGTAAAATACAGAAGCCATATTACGGAACCGCTCAGCATTAGAAATACAATTCCTCAAGTCAGCTTGAAACCTTCCATCCAAAGCAAAGTCCCTCAGATCAGGTCTCTGTGAACCAGAAAAGCACTTCCAGCCTTATATTAAACCAGAATCATACTATAAAAGCTTATGCTAATTGGGCATAAAGTGACTGTCAGCAGCAATTAAAACCACACCTCTCCCCCTACTGTACAAGGGACCTGACCTCAACAGACCTAGCACACAAGATCCGCTGCTTTACAAAAGTGATCGGGTTTTAGGCCATTTCCACGCACCCCTGCCCCCTACTCTTTCAGAAGATTCAGCTTTCTCTCTTGTCCCGCCATGTCTTGCTCAGAACGTTATAAGTAGATGCAGAAAGGCAAAAGCATCTACTAAGTTTATCAATGATAAGAAATGGATTTTAAAGCCAGAAGTTCAGTGAACACCTGAACTAGAAAAGTGCCATTTCCTACCATCACCTCACCTGGCGATTGATTCAAGTGCTTCAAATGGCGCATTCTATGACATTTTTCCCTCCCACAGATTCTTTTGTGTTTGATAACATGAGGTCACACTGCAGCCTTTCCCTCCACTCTAGGTCTACTTCACTGGTTGCCATCTTTCAAAAAACTTTTTGGAAGTCTCTGCCTTCAAAACCTTCGCCCTTTTGTCTAATTTGAGGGGAACTATAAAAGGATTTAAAAGTTCTGGAGAAGGAGAATGGACCTGGATAGCCTTGTTTCCACAGGCAGGCAAGCTAAGCTCTACAAAATTCAGCAGCTGTATTTCAGTTCTGCACCTTTGCTTTAAGGAATTGCACACAAGAAAAACTTTGGGCAAACCTGGCAGGAGCTTAGGCTAGGTCCTTTTGTTGAAATCTGCAGCTGACTCGGCTGCGTTGGGTTGGCAGGGGAGAATTTTTCTCTAGATCCTGCAAAGGAGCAGTTCTATTTCTTTCACCCAGTCTGCTGTTTCTGCTTTATAAACCCCTCTCAACTGCTCAGTCACTTGTATCAAGGCTGCACCACAGAAAATTTTGGCATCACTAAGTACTGAGAAGGCGAAAGAGGACAACACACAGCTGACTTCACCGTTGCTGTAACAGAACTGCACCCCCAAATAGCTTTTGCTTCATTTATCACGTTTACAGGCCACAAATATTTTTCAGTAGGACATACCCTACCCTCTCTGTGCAGTTCCACCATATGACAGTGTTTTGAAGAAATAAAAACCAATTTCTGAGATTACATGCAAGGTTGCATTGTAAACTGGTGCAGGTTACTCACTTACAGTGGTGAGCGGACGATAGCTGTGAAAGGAATAGCTACCATTAACAGAAGAGCTCCCCACTTCACTATATGGTAGCCTAGGTAATCTTCCTGGGTGTTCACCTACTGCAACCTGGGCTGACTGTTCCCTCAGCAGATCTGTAACGCTGACTTCACAACACAAATCTCCTACCTGCTCTGCACAAATTCCCTCTGGGCCTATGCCCAGCAGTCCCCTCAGGGAAAGAAATATATTATGTGTGGTATCACTATTTCATCTTCAGATTTGTTTTGAAAATGAGGGCTTCTCTGAGCATCAGGGAGCTATCATCTTTTCCTGCTCTTGGTTCCCTTCCTGCCTGCCCCTTGATGTAGAGCACACTGGAAGAAAGCTCAGCCCGATGTTTCCTCAAGTGACCCAACCTGAGTTGTAGAAACAAGCTATAAATGGCGTTTGGAACTGAGCAGGCTGAGATGCCTTTTGCAACATACGATAGAATTGAAACGCTGCTGTAATCATCACTCTTGAAATCTGGGTCTACTTCTGCTTCACTAGCTCTTCACACCCTACATTGCCTCATGTAAGATGTGAGCTTTAATCTTAGTGGCACATTCCAGGCCTAGCAATGAGTGCAGCAGCAGCTTGCTCAGCAGAGTACAGGAAATACCTGACATGTAAAGGAGTCTTTTCTACAGCAAAAAAAAAAAAAAAAAAAGATACCAAGACTAAAAAAAACTGTTTTCCTCTGTTAGAGGGAGGACAGAGGAGTAACCTCCAGAGAAGAGCTGAAGAGTTGAAGAGAATTTTTGAGCTCTCCTCTCAAAGGACAAAGAAAAAAAAATCACCATACAAATAACAAGTTTTTTTTAAAAAAAAAGTACATATGTTTCCTAATCTACAAGTCACTACACCTCTTCTACAAGAATCATTGGCTTTCTTTTGCTTATCTAGGCAAGAGAAGGCTATAACACCATAGAAACACTGAAATTCCCAGCAGAAGTCAGCACAGCAATTAAGGAGTGATATAGCAAATATAATGATCATGAAATGGCACGTTTTCAGAACTCTCCAGGGACTGCAATGAACTTTGTTTTTGTTTTCAAAAACAGACCCTTTTCAGTGCCTGATTCCAAGTCCTTTCAAGGTAGTTATAACCTTCAACAGACTTTGCAAAAGACCTTCCTTCACCGCCTTTTGCTTACTGCTGAGCTCTGCTCAGCAGCTGAACCAAATCTAGTACCCACATCTTAGACCCTGGTGTAGCAAGTAGGTTAGATGCATACAGAACTTCAGTAACCTGACATAAGTTATCTGCTCTATAAGCTGGGTGGACTTTGTCATTATTAGTAGAGTGCACTCCATACCGGGCAATCAAAGCCTCAGACAGAGCTGTTTCACAGAATTGAATCTGCAAATTCAAGGATAACATCATAACCTAGAAGTGGAGGAGGAAAGGACCTATAGCCTCCACGTAAAAATCTCACTGGTGAGGAAATGGCTGTTTGTACGGCACATTTAAACAACCTATTAACCAGTTTGGTCTGAAATATCCTCCACCTCTTCCTGTGTGAAACTAACGCTAACAGTACATTTAAATACCTACGATGGATGGTAGAAGAAAAAGCAGGAAGAGTACACATCCTTGCAACAACAATTCCTGGGCTACAGCTCCCTTCTCTATAATTAATTTTATAATGAAAGGAAGAAGTATAAATTCAGAAATTAAAACACCTTGAGGAGAGGCACTGCAGTGACCTACCAGTTGAGAGAGAAATGCTAAGAAAATAGCGTTTAGAGGAAGATTTTTGCTTCAATCTGGCTCTCCCAATGTATGACCCATGTTCAGCATACACTCTACAAGACAGAAGCTTTACTCTTTTACGGTATCAAAGGATTCAACGTTGAGGCACAAGATGCCACCTCCTTCCATTCACCCTCGCTGTTTTCAAAAGGATCAATGTATCATATCAGAAATTGCAAGTGAGCTCTTAATTAGTGGGAACACAGCAAAGAAAACAGAGTGGCAAATGAAGATAATTCAATCATTAGGTGCCCATGCAATTGCAGGTGGCTAAAATGCATTTATTTCTGACAGCATACGTACCCCTGGGGTTCTCTTAAAGAGCGTTGGAGTCTCTACATCCACAAACCCTGAGGAACAAACACATGCTTCAGACACAGGATATGGTGAGAGCAGGGGTGACAAAAGGAGGCTGCAGTGGGGTTACTAGGGTCAAGAGCTAATCTAGTACACCACATAACCTCTCCGAAAACTAGACTTCTCTGTTTCTAAGCATAACTTGTGCAACGACAGACTTAAAGGCTCTGAGCTCCTCCCAAGTCCTGCGAGAACTGCACATTCCATATAGGCTGAGGAACTGTTAATTCACTATCAATTTTGAACTAGGCTGCAGTTTTCAAAAAAGGACTTCCTGATTTTAAGATAAGCCCTATGAGAAATCCATCCCTTTATCATGCCTCAGTGTTGGGCGACCAAAAGAGGGAAACCACCTGCAGAAAGTCTTTGCTTCTAGATACAGCTCATTTGGAACAAGTGGTCTGTGGAACGCTCTGAGATTTCAACACGCTTTGTTCTTCACACCTGCTAACATCCCTCTAGAATCCCCAGTGCAAGCAGACATGTCCCTACTAAGTGGGACCCGTGTGGCGTAGCAAGGTGGTTGGCAACTTCTCCCAGCAACAGGAAAGAGAAGGAAGGAAGACTAAAATGTTGTTTGCTGCACATTATTCTTCAAGCACTTCTCTTACCATGGAGATTACAGAGATATTCCCGCATCCTCATCACTATCCGTGATCTCAGCCGCAGGTTATACTGTAACTGAAAGCTGCGCAAGTCCAAGTAGCGATACTGCATGCGTAAGGCCTCTGACTTCTGGAGATAAGAGACAACTAGGATTAAGAGACAAAAGTCAATTTGCATGTCTAATGAGGCTGCTCCTAAAGCCACAGGAGAAAAAAGGGAAGCTAAAAAAAGAACACAGCCTGCTGCCATGACCCATCCATTATCCACAGCCTATATGCAGAAACATCAGTCACTGAGAACATATCGATGCATGACAGTTACTTTAGAAAAAGAAAATATTTCTTTGAAGTCTTTGAAGAAAATAATTCTGTAGGTAAAGCTTGCCTCCACAAAGCTCTGGATCTCAGCTCTCCTTATCCCCAGTCCACTGGAATAGATTGTAGCAATTCTCCTCACGAATAACAAGTACAGGAGTGGTACCATACGTAGATCTAAAGGAATGACCAAATGGTGATACATCCTTACTACATACAGGGGAAACTACAGTACTGCAGATGGTGGGAATTGTCCAGGACCTATAACATGGAAGGCACAGGACCTAGTTTTCTTGATCTGTGTATCAGTCATATTCTTAATGGCACAGAGAAGATCTTCAACTAAAAGTGACTCCCTCCCCCCTCCACTACCCTATAACATGGAACCTTCATTAGAACTAATCTTCTGTAAGATTGTATACTTACAGAAGAAAAAAAAAATCATATTTGTTTAGCTACCTGTCCAGATATGATTAAGTGCCCTTGCCTTAAAATACATCAGTGCAGTGGCACGTTCTTTTTCATACTCTCAAAAAAGCTAGCATAGCCTGCATTTCTTCTACTCTTCCCTTTACCATCTCTTCTTACAGTGATATTTTAAAACCCTGTGCACTAGAATCATTTAAGTCTTGTTTTCTGCTTAACTTTAATTAGAAACATACCCTCACAGCTAACAGTACCATCCTATGGTAAATACCACTCTTTCCTCAAAGCAGAGCTGGGGAGAACCAGGTGAAGCACTCGCAGAAGTTCTGACGTCCCTCTAAGCAAATTCTAATTTTACTGAAAAGCCACTGCTTTGCTACAAGAGAAAAATGCAGACACCTTGATAAAATCCTTGATTTCAAAAGGCAGCTTCTTGCAGGAGTTTAGGACCTCTGCAGTCTCCACCTTCACTTCAATGTCCCCTGTTGGCATTTTCTGCAGCAAAACGGTGAAAGAAGTTAGATTCAAAATGCAGGGGAAAAAAACGGGCACAAGTCCATCATAGATTAGTAGGAAAAAAGATAAATCTATGCGATTATCCTCCCTGCCCTATAGCACAGCACCATTCAAAGAACTTCTCTCAAAGACAGATTTCTCCTAGATTTCTCTTCTGTTCAGACAAAATGCAAGTCATCTCACTGAAGGTAGAGCGTTCTTTTCTAACGGCATACCCATCTCTACGAGAAATAAAATTACTTTTACTTCGCCCTCCCTCACCTTGCACGACACGCTGCGCACAGAGAAAGTCAGGTCCAAATCCTGTTAGTGCACAGGCATTTGGGTAAAAGAGTAGTTTCATTAGCTTCAATGAAACTCCACAGCATATATGTTAGTATGTATTCGCATGATCTTGAGCAGTCTTTCAAAAAAAGTGAAAAAGGCGACCTGTGAGGAAGGGCAATACCTTTATGACACCAATTCGGAGAGCTAGCGGTCTTTTTCTTAAATACTGAGGGACAGCAGAGACCTTCTCCCTCTTCAAACTGTGCCACAGTGAAGTCCATTCAATGCTACAGAACTCTTTCTATTTACCAGGAAAAAGCATATACAAACTTCCAACACAATGATAATAGATTCAATAAAGGTAATGTAAGGCTTGAAACTAGCATCCTCTGTGGCTATTCACAGTCAGAGTGAAAAATTACGGTCATAAACCCAGGGTTCTCTTCCCAGTTCTACTAATGATCAGAAGTGTACAATCTTCTGAGCTGAGGAATACACAACATTAAAAGAGGTAAGCATTCAACCTCTGTTTTCTATACCATAAGAACAGCCAGATCTACTGCGAGTGAGAAATAGGTCATGACATACTATAAACGTATAAAGGTAATACGTATTTTTAGGAAAAAGAAATTGTATCAACTGCACTTTGAAAGACTGAAAAAGCTAGCTTTTTAATGGTTCCCATTACCCTTTCAAAGGGTTGCAGCACAGTTTCATGCACGGTCGCCTGCAATGTGCTTTGAGATTCTCCTGAGTTACATGTCAGAGCAGTTATTTCTACCTCACATCATTTGAGGATGGGCTGTCACGCACCTCAGAAAGCAAAACTGCCACTGGCAAGTGGCAAAGCTGTGACACACACAAGCCACACAATCCCACATGTGCTCTTTTCCACAAGCAATGCCACACACAGCCAAAAACTCCGAGACATCCCGAAGTCCTCACCGGATTCTCCTGCCCTGGGGGCCGAGGGGACACAATCCCAGTCACTCGCACAACAGATTCCACTGGGGCACTGGACAAGAGCTTCTTCACATGGGAACGTGCCTGCAAGAGGATGCTAATGTCTCACAGAAATTCAAGGAACAGAGCAGATGCACCATGCTCAAGGGCCTCATTTCTTAATGGCCTCTGTGAATCAGCAATCATTTTTCATAAATCAAAGAAAATGGCATTAATATTTCTAATGCAGCGTCACATCAAGGCTCTCATCATAATGCAGGAGGAGTCTGCTTGTGAGTCACAGGCCTCAGTCTGACAAAGTACCTCGTTCTGCACTTGATGTCTCCTGGACACAAGCTACCATATGAGGAAAAAAATAGAGATTCACCTTTTGGCAGCACTTACCTCATCCTGTGGAATGATGATCTGGGTCAGTCCCTGGAAATCCCTCAAAACCAGAAAAAGGCCCTGTCTGATCCATGAAGAAAAACAGAAGGAAAAACAATTTTTTTTCAAGGATTCAGCCGTCATCTGCTCTTTAAGACAAAGTACACGCAACAAGCCACTTTCTATACCTTGTGACTAATATCTCAAAGCATTTCCAAACCAACGTATCCACAGATATTACCTTCCCCACATCTGAATTTAATCTGAACAATTTGTTTCAGATTTTGTCGAGCGGCGTGTACCAATGTGCAAACAACCCAGAGAGGCAGCGTTTGAATATGAACGTTAATCCATGTACAACAGGGATTCTGAACACAGGAAATCTCCAGGGGTTCCCTGTGCAACAGGGAGTGCAACAATCTCATTCAGATAACCTAAGTCTGTTTCCTGTCGCTCCATCCACAGCTGTTCCAAGATGAGGTGCTCAGACCTAAGAAAATCTGTGCAGGCTGTCACTGTAGAAGCCTGCTGGATAAAGAACAGCTTCCCTAGACTGTAAAATGCAAAAGGCTACTTTCGATGCAAATTAATTTCACCAGAACCACAGGACCTACTTAGAATTTACAAGCACATACCCAGAATCACAACATTTAAGAGCATCAACCATGCTGCACGCAGACACACTTTTTACCTTGGATTTGCAAAAGTATAACATTCTATTAGGAGTGGTTACATCATGCCACCTATAGCAGAGTGTTGGAATTAATGTTTCATCCTCTATTTAATAGCTTTTTTTACTATCTCTTTTTGAGCGATGCACACGTACTTTCAATACATATTATTAGGTAGTGTAGCTGAAAACATAATGAATATCTTTGCTTAAGGAATTTGTATGAAAGAAATTATTTGCTCACAGCTGTTCAAGAACTGCTATAAACATATTATTTGTTTTCTCCCCTACAGAACAGGGTAGTAATATTTATCTGCTTTACAGGAATGGAACGAGGATCAATTAACATCCGTATCAAACTCCAAAACTTTATATAACATCATGAGTCTCAACTGCATCACTCATATGCTTCTCAGAAGTGACCGCTACAGGGGATGAAAAGATAACTTCAACCGTAAAACGTGCCTGAACAGAGAGAGCCAGAGCTAGAGGGTGCACCGGACCAGGCAGCTAAGCTTCGCTGCTTCCACCTCGGTTTGCATGTACCTTTGGTATTGAATCCATCCACACAGCGTGACCTTTCGGCCCACGTGAGCAGAACGCAGCTCTCCACAAGTGCTGGTCCGAGCCACAAAGCTACTGAAGTCTTGAATGAAAAACAAAACGATTATTTTGTTGGTTTTACAGACAAGGCAGATTTACAAAAGAGTTAAAGCGCTGTTTTTTTCCCCGAAACTCCAACATGATTTGGGCAAATCATGTTGCCCAAAAATTATGTTGGGGGGGGGGGCAAATTACGTTGCCCCCCCCAAAAAAAAATTACTTCACGTACTCCCAGTGCAATCTCTGTGAGACACTGGGAGGCAAGCGCGACGCGAAGTCACCCTGAACGGATTTTAAAGAGGAATTAAAAGCTACGTTTGTGTCTCAGCCATGCCGGGGGACGGAAGTCCGGGCTGCCCCGCACGCTGCGGGGAGAGGAGGAGGGGAAACTGGAGCTGGAGCCTGCGGCGCCCGCACAGCCCCGGCGGGGGGGG